CCTCCCCCTCCCCTCCTCCCCCTCCTCCTCCTCCTCCTCCTCCTCCTCCTCCTCCTCCTCATCCTCCTCCTCCTCCTCCCCCCCCCCCCCTCCCCCCTCCCCCCTCCCCCCTCCCCCTCCTCCTCCTCCTCCCTCCCCCCATCCCCCCTCCCCCTCCTCCCCCTCCCTCCTCCCTCCTCCCTCCTCCCCCCTCATCCATCCTTCCTCCTCGCTCCTCCTCCCCCCCTCCCCCCTCCTTCCTCCTCCTCCTCCTCCTCCTCCTCCCCTCCCCCTCCTCCTCCTCATCCTCCTCCTCCCTTCTCCTCCTCCGCCTCCTCCTCCTCCTCCTCCTCCTCCACTTCTCCTCCTCCTCTTCTCTTCCTCCTCCTCCCTCCTCCTCGTCTCCTCCTCCTCCTCCTCCTCCTCCTCCTCCTCCTCCCCCCCTCCTCCTCCTCCTCCTCCTCCTCCTCCTGACACCGCCAACGAAGTCTGCCCCCCGCCCTACAGGCCAACCCCTGCGCTCCGCCGCGACCACGAGCATGGTGCACGACACCCCCCCCGAGCCCAGGCGCCGCGCCAGCGCCCCGCGCCGCCCCGGCCCTGCTAGGCTGCTCCGGCAGCTCGCAGTTCAGCCGCCCGGCCAGCGTCGTCGGCGCCAAAGCTGGTTTGTCTCCGGGAGGCGCCCTCGGAGCCAGGCCCCGGCCGGCGGGCCAGCAAGGCGGGGGAGGGGCGCGGCGCCCCCTCGCCGCGCCTCCCGGGCGCTCAAGCCGCAAGCCATGCCCACACGTGGGCCCGCAGCGGCAGCGGGCGGCGCGAAGGCCGCGGGCCGCGCCCCGACGCCAATTTTCCCCGGCGGCAGCATCCGGGAGCCGCGCAGCGGCCCGGAGCCATTTACTTCCACCGACCCATCCCTGTCAGGAGGAGGCCAAGTGTCCGGGCCCGCCGCAGGCGCCGGGCCACGGCGAGGAGGGCCCGTCTTCGACACCCTCGTCCACCTGGTCCATCAGCTCTTTCTGCTACGTCTCCTCGCCCTGCTGCGGGGCGCCGCCGGCCTCTGCCAGTTGCTCCCCCGGCTCCTCCCCGATCGCCTCGTCGAGCGGGGCAGCCAACACTCGGCGCGCCACGTCCCCGAGGGCGGCGTGGAGCCCCGCCCTCGGAGCTGCGATGCGCTCGGGGGCCCGGCAGCAACGGGGCCCCACCAGCGCCGCGATGCTCGGGGCCACCAGCAGCGCCCGCGCCAGCCACTCCCAGGCCTCGCACGGCGCGGGCTCGGCCTGCAGCTCGGCGCGCAGCTGCGCCAGCTTGGCTCGCCCCTCCTCCAACTCAGCCCGGAGCGCGTCCGCGTTGCTTCGGGCCTCGGCCAAGGCGACCTCCGCGGCCTCGGCTGCCGCCGCCTTGGAGGCCCCGGAAGCAGCCCTGGCCTCGTAGGCCTCCGGGAGGACGAGGCGCCGGAGCGGCCGCGCGCTCGCGCTGCGCGGCCTCAGGCCAGAGCTGTCGACCTGGTCTGCTGAGGCCACCATGGGCAGCTGCTGCCGCCGCGTCTTTGGGCGCGGGCGGCCGCGCGATCGGCGCTCCGTTCCAGGGAGCGGCGGCCGCCCAGCGCGCCCGCCGGCGGGCGCGGGCGCGGGCGGGGGGCACCTGGAGGAGGCCCCTGCCCAGGGTACCCCGCAGCGACGGCAGCTGCCGCTTTCCTCCCAGTTGGGGGCCCCGCACTGGCACCTCCATTCGGCGCGGCGCGGGGGCTGTCTCCCAACGCCTTTGGAACGTGCTGCGCGGGATCTGCGTCGCGAACTCGGCGTCGCCTCGGCCGCGGGGCGCGCGGCGCCGCCCCCACCGCCCCCGATTCCACCTCCCCCCAAAAGATGGATAGCTAACAATAATACGCAGAGCATTCGGAAAAAACTAGCGCGACAACGGCAGCAAAGGCAGCCACCCCGTCTAGCGCGACACCGGCAGCAAAGGCAGCCACGGCGAGGCCTGCGCAGCAGCTCCAGAAGCGCAGGTACCCAGCTATAGCGAGGCCCAACTGCGCACGAGAAACGGGCGCTCGGACCAGCTGCCCGATCGCTCCGCCCCCTCCTCCTCCGCCTCCTGATCCGCCCCACCCTCCCCCCCGATCCTCCTCCGCCTCTTCCCCCACCTAGTCCTCCTCCTACTAGACCGAGCCTGCAGAGTGGGCCCCTTTCTTCTCCTGCTCTGCGCACGTCCGCTTCGGCCTCGGTCCCAGCCGCGGCGCCCTCGGGCCAGCTCACGCGATGCGGCTCTCCACTCACGGGGGCGTCTCCGCCCCTTCAGCCGTGCTTCCCTGTCTCGGGGAGACGTGGGGCTCTGGTTCGGGGGGCTCGGGCTGGCCCGACGATACCCTCTGCGAAAATGACGAGACCCAATCTGAAATTTGGCGCGACCCTCGGCTGCAAACATCCCCCGAAAACCGCGCCGTCACAATCCGGGACGCGCCCGTCGAACATCGACGGCAGACACGATTTCCAGCTTACCCGAGCCCCACGTTTCCCCGACTGTCTGGAGGGCGTAAGCAGGCACAGGACAACGGGGCAGAGGTGGGGCTTTGGGGAAGAAGATAACCCCAGACGGTCCACGGAAAAAAGAAAATGCGAGCATCCAGCTGGGCCCGCTCCATGACCTCACCCGGGGAGAACCCCCATCCATGAGCATCGCTGAATACCTCGCAGAGCTCTTCGGCATGGACGAGCCAAAGGAATTCCGGCGTGGGGCGAAGCTAGTTCGCCCACCCGGCCCGGGCGGGCAATGTGACGGCCTGGGGTCGTTTTTTTTTTTGCTTTTTTTTTTTAAAACTTTGCGAGAGACTTGACCGTTGGTTGTGGAAAGCCAGAGGCTTATTCCCTGTAGCCGATCATGGCGCGTATGACGGTGATATCCTTAGGGCTGTAGCTGCAGCACAGCTCTCGACATCGGGATGCATTTTCCCAAATGACAATGGCTTCGCGAATTTAACTGAAGCAGGAAGCGACCTACAGAGCTCCAGATTTGTTTGCGCAGCTGCAGTATTGCTATAAAAACACTTGGCGGAACCAACTTCGCATATTAAAAAATCAGTTTCCGAGTTTTCAAGCTGATATTCAAGGAAGCTTTCTCGTCATATTCTGAGCACCACTCTGCGTTTCAAGAGCTCTACGAGGGCCCCTGCGGTAACCTGTTTAACGGTTTGCCGCCGGCCCCCATCCCCAGCGGCGCGGCCTAGGACCCGCTGGCCGATTTACCCCACTGGATGGGGACATCGGCATTGGAAGCGGGCGGTAAACCGTCGACCTCGGTTCTTTTTGCGGTTTGCGGTCAGAGCAAGCAGTGCAGAGGTCTGCACAGCTCCTTGCCAGAAGACCACAGGTGTCTCGACGCATTGCAGTTTCGCAAACCCGAGCAAAATAGAAGTGAGGCGGCACAAGCCAAAAGGGCTCCGTGCGTCGCATCTCGAGTCACCCGACTGAGAGGGCGCCGACTCAAGTTCACAACATTAGTCTTGTTCCGCTAACAAGAAAGCATGAGGCCACCTAAACAAACGCATTATGAATGCACCTCCCCGAAGGCAACCCTGGAGGCCACCTGTAGGGGTGTAGAGAATGAGAGAAGGCAAACAGCAGAGGCAGCAAGACTAAGCCGAACTGTGCAACTCGCCAATGATTCCCTCACCTGTGATGTCAATTGAATCCACAAATTGTTCGATAACTGAGGTAGGTTGGTCGGTATACGCCCCGTGAAACCGTTCCCACAACTGCAGGCGGTTGTTTCGACCCTCAGGGCCATGCCAAGCCATGCCATTGCGTTACCGCCATAGTTGTGGATGGCATGCGAGCGCGGCAATATTGCATTCAGCGCGCGCGAGGGTGTGCGGCTTCATAGAAATGCGCTGGAAGGTCCTCGCTTGTCTACACCACGAGTTCAGTTGAGACAAACATCCGCGTAAGAAAGTACAATGCTGAACAGATGTGTCAGAATGTTTGTAAAGTTGAAGAAGCTCTCGCCACGCGTAGGAGCACTGTTTTACCATCCGGAGAGGGGGCGCGCCCCGCGGCGACTTAAAGGGGAAAGGGGGTAAGCAAAAGGGGAGGGCGGGGGGGAAGGGGAAAGCAGCAGCAAGAGCAAGCAGTGCAGGGGCGTATAATTACAGCGCGAATGGCTTGCCACTTGTAGCTTTGGTTGCAAACCGAATTTAAACGCCTCGATACCGTAGGCGGATTCACTGGGTAGCGCCCAAACCCGGATAGCACTTGGTAGCGTCCACTTGGTAGCGTCCGAAACCCGGACTGGGAGCCGGCGGCGAACCGTCAACCTTGGTTTTTGAGTTTGAGCCAGGGCGCGGACAGCTGTGACAGCTGAGCCCTAAGACTCCCAAACGGAGCACAGGGTAGCTAGAGAAGGCACCTCTTATCATCACACTGCCGAGCCACTGAGGCATAGGCATCGGAATAGGATGCGGGAACAAGGAAAAGGATGCAACACAACATGTGAGAATGCAAAGGTGTTGGAACAGGTTAGAGAATGGTGTAAGAGCTGGTTGAAACGCTACCCAAAACGTGTTCCACGGCCATACAATGCCGTTTTACTGCATTGATCAAAGCAACAGCCGATCAGCAGCATATGCTTCCACAGACCGCCCTCCAACGAAGAAACCGTGGAGGCCGACTAGTTCATGTTGACGTTGTATATCACAGGCGAAGCAGAGTGAAAGTTAAAGTTGAAGTCTTGAACAGCGCCAGGCGCCAGTTAAGGCCACAGTTAAGGCCAAAAGGTTACACAAAGGTTCCTACTGTGGCTCTGCAAGCGTTGTTCCATCAACCGTTGAGCACCACTTGAGTAGAATGTCAAGCACCGCCAATGTCCGAAGCACCACCCTGCAATACGGTGCATCCTTATCTTGTCCAACCGACACAGCCCACAGGTTCTCTGGTTACCGCCGGGCACTCGCAGAGCTTCCTCGTGCAATGCGGGCGCGGCAATCTCACATTGCGCGCGCGAGGGCGCGGTCTCATGGAGGAGGACGTGGAGGAGAAGAAGGAGCGAGGGAAAAGCATCTCTCGAAACACAAAGACATACCAGACGGAGTTCAGGCGTCTGGACACTTTGAGCTAGCGAGCCTGTTGACTTCCTTCCGATTGCTGCGCCGAGAAGCGTAAAGAAAACCAGCACTGTCTCTAGAAAATTAGCAGAGTACGAATAGTTGTTCGGCCCCAGCGCTGATATCAGACCGAGTTCAGGCGTCTAGATACTTAAAACTAGCGCGCCTGATTAGTTCCTTCCGATTGCCGTGCCCAACAGCTCTGTAGCTCATCTGCAGCTCGAGGTAAGTCAAGAAAACCAGTACCATCTCCAAGAAATTAGCAGAGTAAGAATAGTTTTCGTTTCAGCCCCAGCCTTGATAGCAGACTCATTTCAGGCGTCTAGATAATTTGAACTAGCGCGCCTGATAAATTCCTGCCGATGGCTGTGCCGAACAGACTTTGAACTAGCGCGCCTAGTAATTTCCTGCCGACTGCTGTGCCGAACAGCTCTGTAACTCATCTGCAGCTCGACTGAAACCAAGAAAACCAGCACCATCTCCAAAAAAATAGCAGGGTGCAAATAGTTTTGCGGCTCCCGCGCTGAAAGCAGACCGATTTCAGCGGTCTAGATACGTCAGACCGCGCCTGATGATTTCCTCCCGATTGCTGTGCCGAAAAGCTCTGTAGCTGATCTGCAGCTCGAGTAAAGTCAACAAACCCATCATCATCTCAAAAAAAATAGGGTACGAATAGCTTCGCGGATCTAGCTCGAGTAGCAGACCGATTTCAGACATCTAGATACTTCAGAAGAACGCGCCTGACGATTCCAGATCGATTAGCTGCGCCTACCAGCTCTGTAGCTATACTACAACTCGAGTTAAGTTGAGAAAACCGACAGCACCGGTCACAATGACCGAAAATCGCCGATCCCGCTGGAGTGCTTTTTGGCAGTAATAGGTACCGGATCGACCTGAGATTGAGACGGCGAGCGGGAATAAAATCGAATATGAGGAGAGAAAAAATAGAGCTCAAACGAATGGTTCATTTCGAGAAATCGAATTTGAACAAGTCAAAAAAAGACAAAACTTCCGTCGATATTGTTTTGACAACTAGCTCCCAGGCGCGCCGGAATTACTCTTCTAGCTTCGCCGCTAACGCTCTTAGGGAAGCTCTACGAGTCAAAGAGGCACTCACACTTGGTAGCGTCCAAAAACCGGAGAGCAAAGAGGCACTCACACCGGAAAGCTTTTCTGGTGAACTAGAGCACGAATAGTTTTCGGCCCGAGCGCTGATAGCAGACTGCTTTAAGGCGTCTAGATGCAGTTAACTAGCGCCCCTGATGATTCCCGTCCGATTGCTGTGCTGAACAGACCTCTAGCTCGTCTGCTGCGAGAGTTAAACCAAGAAAACCATTACCATAGAATTAGCAGAGGACGAATAGTTGTTCAGCCCGAGCGCTGATAGCAGACAGAAATCAGGCGTCTAGAGACTTTCAAATAGCGCGCCTGACGATTGTCTTCCGATTGCTGTGCCTAAGAGCTCTGGAGCTCATCTGCAGCTCGAGTTAAGTCAAGAAAACCAATTCCATCACCAGAAAATAACAGAGTATGAATAGTTGTTCGGCTTCTGCGCTGATAACAAGCCGAATTCAAGCGTCTAGATACTTCAGACTAGCGCGCCTGATGATTTCCTTCCGATTGCTGTGCCAAAGAGCTCTCATGCTCATCTGTAGCTCGAATTAAGTGAAAAAACTCATTATCACCTCGAGAAAAAACGGAAGAGTACAAATAGTTTCGCGGACCTAGCTCGAGAAGCAGACCGAGTTCAGACCTCTAGATGCTTCAGACGAACGCGCCTGATGATTCTGAATCCATTACGTGTGCGTACCAGCTCTGTAGCTATACTACAGCTCGAGTTAAGTACAGAAAACTGGCAGCACCTGTCAAGATGACTCGAAACAGCCGATCCCGCCGGAGTGCTTTTTGGCAATAATAGGTACCCGATCGAGCTGAGATTGAGACGGCGCGCGGGAATAAGATCGAATATCACAGGAAAAAACTACTAGAGCTCTCACGAATGGTTGAATTTCGAGAACATAATAGCGCTGGCGGTGAACCGTCAACCTGGATGCCGCCGGGAACCTCGTAGAGCTCCCCGTACTCAAAAAGAGCTATCAGTGCAAGCAGTGAGCCTCTGAAAACATGTACTTCGAATATTGAAGGTTATATTTTTTTCGTGTCAACATAAGGTCGGTTGCTCTACGTCTTTTAATAATACTACTGCGACTACAGAGTTCATATTAAGACGCAGAGCTTCTCATAGCTTGCTACGTGTAGGAAAAACCGTTTCTCAATATGACCAGTCAAATGTCCTTCAAACCACTGGGCGCCGGCGGTAAACCGTCAACCTTTCTTACCGCCGGGAGACTCGTAGAGCTTCCTTTCCACATATTTATGTCAAAGAATTAGCAGAGGACAAGTATTTTTGCAGCCCGAGCGCTGATAGCAGACTGATCTCAGGCGTCTAGATACTATTGCCGCTGATAATTCCCTTCCCATTGCTGCGCTGAACAGATCCAGCCAAGCGGCGCCTCATCATTTTCTTTGCGCGCCACAGAGCTCTCAAGATCATGTACAGAAGTGAGGAAATTCACCGTCATTTCGAAGGACAATCGGTCGAATACGAATAGTTTTGCGACCTAGCTCGAGTAGCAGACTGAGTTGAGAGCTCTAGATGCTTCAGCCGAACGCGCCGAGATTCTGAATCGATTATGTGTGCGCACAAGCTCTGTAGCTACGCTACAGCTCGAGTTAAGTACAGAACACCGACAGCGCCTGTTTACAGAACTCGAAGAATACGAATGGTTTCGCGGACCTGGCTGGAGTAGCAGATCTAGTCCAAACCTCTGGATGCGACAGGCAAGCGCGCCTGATGATTCTGAATCGGGTTCTGTGATTACCAGCTCTGAAGCGTTTCTACAGCCCGAGTTAAGTACAGAAAGCCCACAGCACCTGTCAAGAGACCTCGAAGAATACGAATAGTTTCGCGAACCTAGCTCGAGTAGCAGACCGGGTTCAGACCTCTGGATGCAACAGACAAACGCGCATGATGATTCCAAATCGGTTACGTCTGCGCATCAGCTCTGTAGCTCTCCTACAGCTCGAGTTAAGTCCAGAAAATCGACAGCATCCGTCAACAAATTTCGTATAATACGAATAGCTTCGTGAACCTAGCTCCAGTGGCAGACCGAGTTCAGACCCCTCGATGCTGAAGACAGACGCGCCTGATGATTCTAAATCGGTTTCTGTGAGAGACAGCTCTGTAGCTCTTCTACAGCCCGAGTTAAGTACAGCAAACCGAGTGCACCTGTCAAGATGATTCGAATAATGAAATAGGTTCGCGGACCTAGCTCGAGTAGCAGACTGAGTTCAGACCTCTCCATGCAACAGACGAACGCGCCTGATGATTTTAAGGGGTTTTCTGTAAGCATCAATTCTGTAGCTGTCCTACAGCGCGAGTTAGAGAAAGAAAACCGACAGCACCTGTCAAGATGAGTCGAATAATACGAATAGCTCTGCGGATCTAGCTCGAGTAGCAGATCGAGTTCAGACCTCTGGATGCAACTGACAAACGCGCCTAATGATTCTGAATCGGTTTCTGTAAATATCAGCTCTGTAGCTACTCTACAGCTCGAGTTAAGTACAAAAAACTGCCCATGCGTGTCAAGATGACTCGAAACGGCCGATCCCGCCGCACGGCTTTTTGGCAGTAAAAGATACCCGATCGAGCTGAGATCTAGATGGCGAGCGGGAATAATATCGAATGTGGTCAGAAAAAATATTAGAGCTCCAACGAAGAGTTGAATTTCGAGAACATAATTTTGAACCGACCAAAAGTGAGCAAAAGGTCTGTCGAGATGTTTATTGTCATCTAGCTCTCCAGCGCCCCGGAACTGGGAGCCGGCGGTAAACCGTCAACCAGGTTACCGCCGGAAACCTCGTAGAGCTCTGGGATCACAGAATTCTCTTTAGATCCCGACGAGTAAGTTCAAGCAGACATGAGCTTAGAAAATCAAAAATATTCTATAATCATTCGAAAAATGCATTCCGAGAGCAGATTGATCCTCCACGTTTTTTGATAGTAATATTCCAGCTACGAACCTGAGAATTGAACAGGCGAACGCGGCACAACCTACTCTACGTTACAAAAATAGTGGTTCCGAAAACGAATTTCAAGATCTCTCAAAATATCCGAAAAAACCGACGCCAGGTCATCACATTGTCCGTCCAGGCCGGGTGGGCGAACTTGGAACCGGCGGTAAACCGTCAACCAGGTTACCGCCGGGGCCCTCGTAGAGCTCTTTTCTCGCACGGCGCTCCTCGGCACACATAAAGGAAGCGTCTGGAGCAAGACCCGAAAAACTCGAAACATCACTTTTTTATGTTTTTATCCAAAGACGGTTCCTCCAAGTGTTTTGATAGTAATACTGCACCTACGGACCTGAGAATTTGACTGGCAGACGCGGTATAACCCACTACAGGTGCGAAAAATCTGTTTTCTCAAAATGAATTGTCAAATATCTTTCAAACCTTCAGAAAACCGACCCAAAGTTATCACTGGGCGCCGGCGGTAAACCGTCAACCTTTGTTACCGCCGGGGGACAAGTAGAGCTTCCTGACCATATATTATGTCCAAAGATAGCAGAGTACGAACCCTGTTTGGCGTCTGCGCTCAGAACAGACCCAAACTAAGCGTCTAGATCCTTCGCGCCTCATGATGCCCTTCTGATTTTTCAGCCGAAGAGTTCAGTGAAGAAATTCACCATCATTTGGACAAAAAAATGGTCGAATACGAATAGTTTTGTGAATCTAGCTCGGGTAGCAGACCGAGTTCAGACCTCTCGATGCAACAGACAAACGTTCCTAATGCTTCTGGATCGGTGCCTGTGCGTACCAGCTCTCTAGCTCTCCTACAACCCGAATTTAATACAGAAAAGGGACAGCATCTGTCAAGATGACTCGAAGAATACAAATAGTTTTGCGGACCTATCCCGAGTAGGAGAGCCAGTTCTGACCTCTGGATGCAACAGACGAAAGGACCTGATGATTTCGAATTAGTTTCTGTGCGTATGGGCTCTGTAGCTCTCCTACAGCCCGAGTCAAGTGCAGAAAACCGACAGCACCTCTCAAGATGACTCGAACGATACGAATAGTTTCGCGGACCTAGCTCGAGTAACAGACGGATTTCAGACCTCTCGATGCAACATACGAACGCGACTGATTATTATGTATCGATTTCTGTGCGCATCAGCTCTGTAGCTCCCCTAGAGCTCGAGTTAAGTACAGAAAACCGACAGTCCCTGTGGAGATGTCTCGGGCGATAAGAATAGTTTTGCGGACCTAGCTCGGGTAGCAGACCGATTTCAGACCTCTGCATGCGACAGGCGGGCGCGCCTGATGCCTCTGAATCAGTTTCTCTAATTACCAGCCCTGTAGCCTCCCTACAGCCCGAATTAAGTACAGAAAACCGACAGCATCTGTCAAGATGACTCGAACGATACGAATAGTTTCGCGGACCTAGCTCGAGCAGCAGACCGAGTTCAGACCTCTACATGAAACAAACGAACGCGCCTGATGATTCGAAGCGATTTCTCTAAGTATCAGCTCTGTAGCTGTCCTAGAGCTCGAGTTATGTACAGAAAACGGTCACCGCCTGTCAAGATGACCCGAAACGGCCGATCCCGCCGGCGTGCTTTTTGGCAGTAATATCTACCCGACCGACCTGAGATTAAGATGGCGAGCGGGAATAAGATCGAATATCATGGGAAAAAATACGAGAGCTCTAACGAATGGTTGAATTTCGAGAACAAAACTTTCAACTGACCAAAAGTCATCAAAAGGTCCGTCGAGATTTCTCTTGCCAACTAGCTCTCCAGCGCCCCGGAACTGGGAGCCGGCGGTAAACCGTCAACCAGGTTTTTTGCGTATTTGCTGGGACCATCTTGGCCACTGAGGCCAGGCCCAACAAGTCTCAGGCGAATCAAACGACCTGTGGGCACTGCAACAGTGAGAACACTGATGAGGCGAAACTAATACTACAGACACCCTACAACAGTGAGAACACTGATGAGGCGAAACTAATACTACGACATGAGAGCCAGGAGACCTGGCCAAGAACTGAACATGCACACACTGAATTATTAGAGCTCAAACAAATGCATATGCACCATGACTATGGACCGAAAGGCAACACTACCGAATCACAAGCAATAAACAAAGGCAACGAACAAACTGAAAGACTATGCACTGAATAAGGATGCACTGAATGACCACACGAGGCAATCACAATCAACAATCAAAAAGACCACGCGAGGCAATCACAATCAACAATCCTATACAATAAGTTCGGATTGAAAGGAATCACTCGAAGAATACGAATATCTACCGAAGAGGCCAAACCTGAGATTTACACCTTCGTTCAAAGTCCGTCAACGTCCTACCGAACCTACACACTTAGTCAAACTCCTGACCTCCTATGTCGGCGCCTTTACCTTTGCCTTTGCCTTTGCCCTTGCAGGCAGCACTTCCACATGACGACGTTGTATCGTTCCTCGGACGTCCATAGAATTGGATTCGAAATTCGTCGCACTTGGAATCCTGTAGAAACTTGGCAGCCTCGGCACGGTTCATCTGCCCTGTAAGATATATGTGCCTCTCGAAGAATTCCAGAAGGTCCTCCAACGTCGCTTGCACATTCTCGAACGTCCCGCGCTTCCGCACAGCATAATTTGCCCTGGCCTTTGCAGGGATCCCACCTTCTGTCAGAAGATCTGCAAACAAATCCACTCCATTCTTTAAATACTGGATCGCATTCGACTCGTTGATACTGCCAGCAGCGTCAATACATGCCTTAAGATCGGCAATGGTGGCCTGAGAGCACGTGGAAGTCCCCTTGGCCTTCACATCGGAAGAAGATGAGACCACTGCCTTCATATCAGAAGAAGAAGAATATGAAAGAGCTGCATACGTGTCAGAAGAAAATGAGACCACTGCCTGCACATCTTTCCCACCTGACTCACGAAGGCGTAGAGCTTCCTTGCACGCAGGCGTCTGACTTTGCGTAGAGCTCATGAAGGCGTAGACCCACTGAGTTTGCACGCCAGCATCCATTGAAGTGAACTGAGTTTGCACACAGGCGTCCTTGCCAGTGAACTGAGTTTGCACGCCAGCATCCATGGAAGAAACGTTTGGGGAATCCGTGAAAGCGTCCATTTCCGCACCGTTGTGCATACCAGACACAAGATTCTCTGTTTGCACACAGGCGTCCATTAAAAAGAGCTGAGTTTGTACACAGGCGTCCTGCACGCTGGCGGCAGCGGAACTCCCAACTGTTGAACTCCCAACTGCACTGTCATAAGAATGGGTCTGGCACAAAGTCAAACCAACTGCGGAACTTCCAAATGTTGAACTCCCAACTGCTGTTGAACTCCCAACTGCACTCTCATAGGAATGGGTATGACAAAGAGTCGGGGGGGTCTCCGTTTGCACATCGACACACACAGTCCGGCAAAAAGAAGACCAAGTCTGCACTTCCACTTCCTGGATCCCCCCTCTGCAGTCTCCCTCCAATCCAGGCGGAGCAGCCAATTCTGTCAGAAGAATCGTATAAGTATCGGTTTTTGGCAACAACGAGTCCAAGCAAACGGGAATACATGGCGGCTTGCAGAAGCCCAAATAAAAGGCCCGAGATCTTCGTGCAGCTCGCCTGTGACAACTGCGAACATGTGGCATGATTCGTGCAACGAGAAACAAGAATCAAATTCAGGAATAAGTCACACGCACACGGCGGATCTCCACGCGAGGCGAAGGTACAAAACAAATTTCCACAACCACACCGCAACAAGGAATGAATATGAGAGGCCAACAAAGAGGCGAGATGTACAGGGAGATGGACAGTTGCGTAGGCAGAGCAAAACACCACGCTAGCTCAACGTTCACCTTCGCGGAGGTCCCCCAGGCAGGAGAAAATGAACGCACGCGGAGCTTGAGCCGGCAGTGCTTGAGCCGGAAGCCTCGCAGAGCTCTTGTCTGCACGGCGCTGCTCGGAACACATGGGGGGAGCTTTCTTACGCGTGAGCTGAAAAAGTTGAAAAATTACGTTTTTCAGTTTTCACCGAAAGTCGGTTCCTTCAAGTGTTTTGATAATAATACTGCCGCTACGGACCAGGGAATTTCACTGGCGGACGCGGCACTTGGCAGCGTCCAAAACCCGGAGAGCAAAGAGAACACACACCGGAAGCGCTGCCAGGAACGCTTCCACGCGTGCCTGCACGCGTGCAGGCACGCGTGGACGCTTACCGGAATCTCTCCCGGACGGGCTGCGAAACGTGGACCGCCGTAGAGGAGCTCCTGGCAGGCACCACCACCGTCAGGCTTCTAATCCGAAACCCTATAGCTCTCAGCGAGCTCTCCGGGAATAACCCACTGCAGGTGCGAAAAATACCGGTTCTCAAAACGAATGTTCAAATCTCTCAGAAAGTTCGGCCAACCGACCCAAAGTTCACACCTGTTGTTGTCCAAAACCCGGATAGCCAAGCGAGAGACGCGCGCGCATGGGTCTCGTCGCGCAAGCGCCACTGGGCGCCGGCGGTAAACCGTCAACCTTTCTTACCGCCGGGAGACTCGTAGAGCTTCCTTTCCATATATGTTGTCCAAAGAATAGCAGGGGGCGAATATTTTTCCAGTCCGAGCGCTGATAGCAGACTGATCTCAGGCGTCTACTCTTGCCGCTGATGTTGTGCTGAACAGATCCAGCCAAGCGGTGCCAAAAAGCTCTCAAGTTAGGCGAAGAAATTCACCGTCATTTCAAGAAAAATCGGTCCAACACGAATAGTTTTGCGACCTAGCTCGAGTCGCAGACTGCAGAACTCGGGATGCTCCAGACGAACGCGCCTGATTATGAATCGATTCTGTGTGCGTACAGGCTCTGTAGCTATGCTGAAGCTCGAGTTAAGTACAGAACATCACAGCGCCTGTTTAGAGAACTCGAAAAATACAAATGGTTTCGCGGACCTGGCTCGAGTAGCAGACCTAGTTCAGACCTCTCGATGCAACAGACAAGCGCGCCTGATGATTCTGAATCGGTTTCTGTGAGTACCAGCTCTGAAGCGTTTCTACAGCCCGAGTTAAGTACCTCTACAGCTCGAATTAAACACCGAAATTCGACAGTACTCGCCAAGAAAATTCGTTGAATACGAATAGTTTCGCGACCTAGCTCGAGTAGTAGACCGAGTTCAGACCCCTAGATGCTAGAGACAGACGCGCCTGATGATTATGAATCGGTTTCTGTGAATACCAGCTCTCTAGCTCACCTGGAACCCGAGTTAAGTACAGAAAACCGACAGCACCTCTGAAGATGACTCGAATAATCAAATAGTTTCGCAGACCTAGCTCGAGTAGCAGACCGAGTTCAGACCTCTAGATGCAAGTGACGAACGCGCCTGATGATTCTGAATCGGTTTCTGTAAGTATCAGCTCTGTAGCTGCTCTACAGCTCGAGTTAAGTACAAAAAACCGTCAACGCGTGGCAAGATGACTCGAAACGGCCGATCCCGCCGCAACGCTTTTGGGCAGTAAAAGGTACCCGATCGAGCTGAGATCAAGATGGCGAGCGGGAATAAGATCGAATGTGGCGGGAAAAAATATTAGAGCTCAAACGAATGGTTGAATTTCGAGAACAAACTTTTCAACCGACCAAAAGTCACCAAAAGGTCCGTCGAGATTTTTCTTGCCAACTAGCTCTCCAGCGCCCTGGAATTACTCTTAAGCTTCCAGCAACTACCTAAGGGAAGCTCTACCAATTATTGGTAGCGTCCAAACCCGGAGAGCAACTGGCGCCGGCGGTGAACCGTCAACCTGGGCACCGCCGGGAATCTCGTAGAGCTCCTTGCAGGCACGAAAGTGTTCAGAATCGAAGCAGACAGCTTCTCGGGGCCTTTCTCGAAAAAAACGTCAACTTTCTATTTTTCGATGTCACTCCGATGTCGGTGCCCGCTTTTCGGATGGTAAAACTCTCTCTAGAGAGCTGAGCTGCTCTGAGAATAAAGTTCAGATACTAATGCTACGCGTAAAAATCTGCTCTCTCGAAATGAATGGTCAAATATCTTTGAAATCTTAGCAAAACCAACCAAAAGATATCACTGGGCGCCGGCGGTAAACCGTCAACCTTTCTTACCGCCGGGGGGCTCGTAGAGCTTCCTGACCATAGATTGTGCAAAGAACTAGCAGAGAACGAATAGTTTTTCAGCTCGAGCGCTGATAGACTGATCTCAGGCGTCTAGATACATGTTACGATTGCCTCTGATAGTTCCCTCCCCATGGCTGTGCTGAACAGTTCTATAGCTCATCTGCAGCGTGTAGAACCAAGAAAAACAGTACCATTAGGGAGAAAGTAGCAGAGTACGAATCCGTGTTTGGCGTCTGCGCTCACAACACACCCAAACCAAGCGTCTAGATGCTTCGCGCCGCATGATTCTCCTTCTTCTGAACTCGAGCTGCTCTGCAGCTCGAGTTCAATGAATAAATTCACCATTACTTGGAGGAAAAAAATATCGGTGAAATACGAATAGTTTTGCGAACCTAGCTGGATCGTTTTCTGTGCGCATCAGCTCTGTAGCTCTCCTACATCCCGGGTTCAATACATAAAATGGACAACACCTGTGAAGATGACTCGAAAAATACGAATAGTTTCGCGGACCTAGTAGCAGACCCAGTTCAGACCTCTGGATGCAATAGACGAACCGGCCTCATAATTCCAAATCAGAGTCTGTGCGTATCACCTCTGTAGCTCTCCTAGCCCGAGTACCTCGTAGAGCTCTTCGTCATCGATGAGCTAGAGGAATTCCGGCGCGGCGTGGAGCTATTTGGTCGACCCGACGAGAAAAGAGAAAGTGGTGACTTTGGGTCGGTTTTTCTAATATTTGAAAGATATTTGACAATTCATGCTGAGCTCTAACGAATGTTCAAATTTTGAAAACAAAATTTTCAAGCAAGCATAAGTCATCAAGAGTTCCGTGGAGATTTTTCTTGCCAACTGAACGCCGGCAAACCGTCAACCTTTCTTACCGCCGGGGGACTCGTAGAGCTTCCTGACAGTATATAATGTGGAAAAATATACACAGAACGAATAGTTTTTCAGCCGAAGCGATTTCAGACCTCTGAAGATGACTCTAACAAAAAAAGAAACAGTTTGGCAACCCAGCTCGAGTATCAAACCAAGTTCCCTCTGAATGCGACAGGCGGACGCTTCTGATGTCTGCGAATCGACTCCTGTGATTACCAGCTGCAGCCCGAGTTAAGCGCAGAAAACCGACGGTATCTCTAAATATGACTCGAATAATAGAATAGGTTCGCAGGCCTAGTTCGAGCAGCAGACCGAGGTCCGAGCTCGGTTCGACAGACAGACGCGCCTCATGTCTGCGAATCGATTTCTGTGACCAGCAGCACTGTAGTCCTTCCCAGCACGAGTTAAGTGCAGAAAACCGAGAGCACTTCTCAAGATGACTCGAATAATACGAATAGTTTCACGAACCTAGCTCGGGCAGCAGGCCGAGTTCAGAGCTCTCGATTCAACAGATAAACGTGCCTGATGATTTCCAATCGATTTCTGGGCTATGAGCTCTGTAACTGCCCTACAGCGAGTTAAGTACAGAAAACCGAGAGCGCCTGCTAAGATGACTCGAATAAGACGAATAGATTTGCGGACCTAGCTCGGTCAGCAGACCACGTTTAGACCTCTGGATTCAATAGGCGAACGCGCCTGATCATTCTGAGTAGAAGCAGGCCGGTTCCGAGATAACAGCAGAAAGAGCTTCTTCATACTAGCTTCAAACATAAAGACAGTTTTGTCAGTCATACACAATGGTGGTTCCCCCTAGTCTCGTAATCGAACTAATGCAGCTAGGACCCTGAGAATTACACCTCGAAAGTGCCATGATTCACTGGATATAATAAAAAAAAAAAATCAAATTTGCCAAACGAATTTCGAAATCTCTCGGCATCTTCGAAAAACCGACCCCAGGTCATCACATTGTCCGCCGAGGCCAGATTGGTCAACTAGCTGCAGCCCCGCCGGAATTCCTCTAGCTCATCGGTGTCTTGCTAAGGGAAGCTCTACCAGGTACTTGGTAAGGGAAGCTGCACGAGTTACTAGCTCTCTAGCGCGCAGAATTACTCTGAAGCTTCCAGCAACTGGGCGCCGGCGGTAAACCGTCAACCTTTCTTACCGCCGGGGACTCGTAGAGCTTCCTGACAATATATAATGTGGAAAATAATTCCAGAGAACGACTAGTGTTTCAGCCCAAGCGATCTCAAGATAACTCTAACAAACCAAACGAACAGTTTCCCAATCGAGCTCGAGTATGAAACCGAGCTCAGACCTCTGAATGCGACAGGCGGACGCGTCTGATGTCTGCGCATCGATTCCTCTGATTACCAGCTCTGCAGCCCCCCATACAGCACGGAAAACCGAGAGCGTCTGCTAGAATGACTCGAATAATACGAATATGTTTGCGACCTTAGCTCGGCTAGCAGACCGAGTTCGGACCTCTGGATTCAAGAGACGAACGCGCCTGATCATTCTGGATGCATTAGTGCTCACCAGCTCTGTAGTTGTCCTGAAGCTCGAGTTATCTTGAGAAAACCGATAGCGCATATCAAGATGACTCGAAACGGCCGGTCCCGCCTGCCTGCTTTTTGGCCTTCAAAGTTACCCGATCGAGCTGAGATCAAGATGACGAGCGGTAATAAGATCGAATATCATGGAAAAAAATACGAAAGCTCTAACGAATGTTCAAATATGTAGAACAAAAGTTTCAACCGATCAAAAGTCAGTAAAAAGTTCGTCCAGATTTTTCTTGCCAACTAGCTCTCCAGCTCCCCGGAATTACTCTTGAGCTTCCAGCAATAACTTGTTGAGGGAAAGCTCTACGAGTTACTAGCTTAGGGAAGCTCTACGAGTCATTGGTAACGTCCACTTGGTAGCGCCCAAAAACCGAAGAGAGT